CTCTAGCCTTAGGGCTTGACTCTAAAAACTCTAAACTTGGTTCACTTTTGTTGTCTTGATTTTTTTTTTTTTTTTTTTTTTTTTTTTTTTTTTTTTTTTTTTTTGAGACAGGGTCTCACTGTATCCCAGGCTGACCTGAAACCTACTAGTAGCCTAGGCTGGCCTCATCCTCCCATGTGCTGAGATCACAGATGCAGCAGCATACCAGCTTTTCTGTTTTCCTTTCTAGCTTCCTCAGTTGGTACCGCCCCCACTGTCCTCCAGTCCCACCTGGCTTCTCCTGAACTCAGGACCCAGTCCTGCATCTTGGAAGGACTGTGCTTCTCCCAGGACCTAAGAAACACTTGACATATGGGGCTCAGGTTATATCCTTCTCCTGAAGCACCTTCCTCCTGACCTCCCCATGCTGACATAAGGACGGTCTCTATTTCCACAGTGCCTTATTTTTCAAGCTCTGAATTGCCCCATGCTGCGATTGTCAAGGCACATTTTTTAATACTTATTTCTCTGTATCCAGCATCCAGCATGGGACTAGGCATCTAGCAGGTGGTCAGTCAATGCTAAGAGAATGAACGAGGGACTTGAACTGCAATGTGGCCAGACAGCCGCTGTGCCAGGGAAGGTGTGTCCCTCAAAGCTGAGGTATGTAGGAAGCACCGGGCGGGGAGACATTTGATCTGTCAGGGAGGTGATGCCCTGATCCTCAGCCCCACAGGGGAGAGGAATGCACCTGTAGGGTCACAGTGACCTGGGAGGTACGGAGGCCAGGACCCACCCTGGAAAATCCAGTAGCTAGCCCATCTGCATACTCTTCAGGCCTGCTGGGCTTCTACCAAAAAGGCCTGACAGAGGGAGGTCCCAACCCACAGGCTTCAGCTCCGTGCAGCACAACTCCTCCTGGCAAAGGGTCCTCTTACAGAAACCCTAGAACTCAAGAGAAGGTAGAGCCAGTATAATGAGGGCCAAAGGCTGGAGTCTCCTTGTTCTCGTTTGTTGTTGTCTTCGAGAGGTCCCTCTGTAGTCCTGGCTACCTTGGAGCTCACTATGTAGACCAGGCTCGCCTTGAACTCACAGAGTTCCATCTGCCTCTGCGTCCAGAGTGCTGGGATTAAAGGCTTTTTTTTTTTTCCTTCCTTAAAATAAGTAGAGGAAACCAAGATTTCACAACACAAACTTCTGAACTGTGTGTTTTTCCTGCGGCTATCACCTGTGTATCTTATCTCCTGGCTATCCCTCTTTCCTTCTCATCCAGAAGCACACAAATGCCAGCAGGCTCTTGAGCTCACGGTACCGGTCCTCACTCCCACACATGGACTACAACCTTTACACACATGGCCTTACCTTTGCAGCAGTCCCCTCTCCATCTCCTGCTTGCTTGCCTCTGACGACAAAGAACTCACTCCACTCAAAGGCCCCTGTTCCATCAGAGAACAGCTCTGCCTTTATTATTATTGATTTTATAAACCTTAGTATTTAAAAAAAAAACCAAAAACAACTCTTGCAAATAAATAAAAACATCACACACTGAAATGAACCAGATGCAAAGTCAGTTTTTGTTTTTTTAGACAAGGTCTCAAGTAGCTTGGGTAGCCAGCCTTCAGAATCCTCCTGCTCCATCTCTCAAGTGCTGGGATTATGGGTGTGTGCCACCATGCCTAGAGATTCAAATGTGCTTTCCTAGTACTCAGCTTTGATTTTGGCTTGCTTGAGCCCCCACATGTCATCCCTGCCTCTCGACCCCGCAGAACCATCCCCCAGGCTACCTAAATATCGGCAGCTGTCTCCTGCCCCAGGTTGCCCTGCCACCTGTGCTTGAGTGAACCTAAAAGCCCAGAAAGGACAGAGCTGTACCATACTGTCTGCTCCCAATGACTTCTCCAAAGTCACACCAGCACAGACAAGTAGGAGTCATGGAGGATGTCCCAAAACCAGAGGAGGAGCCAGGTGTCATGAGGCCACAGGAGACTCTGAAACATCACCTGCTCAGCCCACTACAGGCATCTCTGGGAATGAATATGGCTCAAGGTCTGTGCTGCCAGGTTCTCTTTTATTAGCCAATCAGGACAAAGAACAGGTCACAAAGTCACAGGAAGTAAGGCCAAAAGACTGACAGATACACAGGACAGAGCATCATGCTGTGCTACGCAGGGGCAGAACAAGGGAAAGCAAGTGGCTGGAGTTTTGTTTCCTCCACTAACAGAATAAATAAATACAATACACGGTATTTTTGCCACAAGCTGGTACAACCTCTAAGCACAAATGGTCACAAAACAGCTGGTCTGTAAAGCAGTTCGTGTGGCCAGTCAGCCTCTACATAGGAGGTGAAGAACCAGGCCCCCGGACCATGCTCTAGGGAAGGAAGGAAGCAGGGAGAAGGACACCTCAAACAGGAAGGAGCAGAGAGGTGCAGGACTTTTTTCTAGAAGGGCTGATAAGGGTTTGGTCGGCAGGCTCTCTGCCCTTAGTGACCAGCAGGCCAGGCATACATTCCATCAGCATTGTCAGGGAGGTGAGCCCAGCCACACTTGTCCCTCTAATTCCTCCAAAGAATTGTGTCCTCTAATCCTCCCAAGGAGACATGGTTCTCTCTCTCTCTCCACCAACCCCTTCTCTTTCAGCTGCTTTGAGTATCTGAGTCTGGTACCCTAAATACCTTGAGATCCCTGAGGGTAAAACCCACGTGTGTCTTTTCTTCGTTCTCTGGCCTTGTGGGTTTGGGTCAGCAGATTGAGAGAACTAACAAAGATCGAAGGGAGTTTCGAAAAGCCTAGGGTCGGCTGGCTTCTGCCATGACAGAATAGGACTCCAGGAGGCCTCGATCCTTAAGAGATGGGGGAAGCTTCTGGGGAAATGGCTCCTGCCTACAAATGTCGCATCCCAAGTCCCAGGGACAGTCATTTGCAGCCAGGAATAGACAAACTGTTTCAGCCCTGTGCCTGGTCCCAGATGGGGTATTTCAGAAACATAATTTCCTGAAGCTAACCACAACTGGTTAACCGTGGGCCACCGGGCCACCCCCAACCCAGAACTCCTCAGACTCCCTAAGGGTTTGCTAACCTCTCATCTCCCTGGCCAAGTCTCCCCTCCTCTGATGTTCGCATGGCTTTGGACTCGCCTTCCAGATCCCAGACCCCAGGAGGATACCCCTTATTCAGACTCTCAGCTGCCTGCCTTTGGTGCTTGCTGCGTGGAAGTGGGAATATTAGGCTGCATTCTAGGCCTTTCTATCCCACCTCTCCTGAGGTCAGTCACCTCCTCTTCAATGGCCCACTCATGCTCACCTCTCCTATTTGCTTCATGCTTTTCCTGGCTCAAGCTATTGCCCTCCCTACTTTTTACTGACCAAAGCCTCCTACTCCTGTCCATACTGACCTTACTAAGGTGAGCACTGTTGGCTCTGTAGGCCAGCCATGCCAGGCCACCACTAAGTGTGGGGTTGAGGGTTCGTGGCAAGCCAAAGGGTTGGGAAACCATAACCAGGAATCTATCCAAGTCATCTTGCCCACCCACCACCATGGGCATGGAAATGGAGCACACACACACCCCAATGCTAGCACTGGAATCCAAGAAAAATAGGATCAAATCTAGATTGTCTAACCTAGAAAGGATCCATTACATTTCCTGGGAAACTGAGGCAGTATCCACAGAGAGCTTCAGGTATGAAGGATTCACTGTTCCTCAGCAAAACGACAGTAATGTCCTAACTTACACATTGGGCTTCTCTTTAAGTGTTGTGCTGTAGTTGTTACCACTAAATTTACTTAAAGCCTTTTCCCTACAAGGTTGTGTGAACAGAATGCTGGGTGGTTGGAAATGAACAGGATAAGTTTGTCTCATCCAGACAAGCCCATCCCGGAAAGCACCAGGCCTGCCCAATGTCCTACCATCCTGAAAGGGGGTTTGCAGAGCAGGGTTCCCTCGATATAAGAACACACCTTACCAAGCCAGTGACTCACTGGACAGAAACTCCTACTCCCACAGCTGCTTCTGGGACAGGAAGCCAACAAATCCTGAAAGCATGGTTGCCCTGTGGCCTCCCTCACTTATCAGGAACTCAAACCCTGCAGTGATGTCAGCTGTTCTATGGCCAGCCTAATCAATGCTGCCCCTCACCCCTCGCCCCTCTATGATCTGGGGAGCCATTACTTCCAAGCTAGAGAGAGAGAAAGGGGACTGTGAGCTCCTCCTAGTGTCTGGGAGATGCTGTGGACCATCTGCCTGTTGCTCTAGGGTCTTCCCAAGAAGAATTTTGTTGAATCTTGGGGCACTGAGAAGAAGAGCTGCCTAGAAAGGGATCAAATTAAGAGAGGAGATAGGAAAGCAGGGCAGAAGAGAAACAGGAAGAAACAAAATGACTAAAACCAAAACCACAACCCAAACAAAACACTACTTGAGAATACAGGACACTGATATATCCAGCACCAAAAGAAGAAAACAGAGGCAGAGGGAAGGCATAGCAGTTAGATCCAGGTTAGGCAGGGAGACACGGATCAAGACAGAGGCGGTGAGGCTGGGAGAAAAATCAGGAGGAGGAGGGAGGGAGGGAGAGAGAGAACACAAAAGAACACACACTCTGGAGTGGACTTCAGAGGTAAGGTTAGCAGTGGCAATGCAATTCGAGAGCAGGTGAAGGGGCCTGGGGCAGGCGATGCCTGAAAATATAGTTTTATATATTTATATTTATATCTCACATTCCACACATCAACTTACTAGGGGGGAAGGCCTGGAGGGAGGAGGTAAGCCTGAGGAGGGGATGTAGCCAGGTGTTCACCTCCTCCCCATCTGACCTCCACGGGGTCCAAGCAGGGCCATGCAGAGGGGGTGTGTTTCACTTGGTGCTGGGGCTCTGAAGAAGGGAGACAAGGGGAGAGGATCCCAGGCCCCAGCACCCCTGGGCTCTCAGAGTTAGTTCTCAGAGAACTTGGAGAGCCTTCTGGGAATAACCACGGGGCCGAGATGGGGGAACACCTAAGACCATGACTGGGTTGGAAGCCAGGCAGTCAGTTGGGGAGCGTATCAAGTCCCAAGGAGGCAGCGTGCTGCTTGGCCCTGAGGCGAAGGTTTTCAATGCTCGTGGTTTTACTGTTCAGGGCAGCGGAGGCAGGCGCCAGGCCTGTGGGGGGCGCCGGCAGCAATGGGGACCCCCAGACACCCTGATGAGCAGCAGCAGCTGCTGACAGGGATTGATAGTAGGACTGGCAGTGCAGGGAGCTCAGGGGGGCCATGTTGACACCTAGGTAGGGCACCGCAGCAGCTGCGGCCGCGGCGGCAGCGGGGGCCGGACCACCCACTTCAAAAGAGGAGTAGTGCACCAGGTTGTTGGTGGCTGCCATGTGTTGGCGGAACTGCTCCTGTAGACGAAAGAGGCTGAGCGGGGATGAGGAGTAGGAATGGGATGGGCCCAGGAGGCTGCCCCCAGGGTTCGCAGGAGTTATAGCCAGGCTGCCTGGGGAATCTGCAACCAGAGAACAAGAAACAAGTACTCAGAACAAGAGGACTGGCATTGGAGGAGAGGCTGCCTCCTATCCCCTTGGTCCTGCAGTGAAGACAGTCTGGCTGAAATCATCAACCAGGGTGTCCTCTGCAATGACCCTCAGAACTGGGTTGGGAGGGACTTAGTGAAGCTCCAGGTTCCTCCCACCTGGGGATCCATGTCTGACTTCCTGGGGAACCGCTTAATCTTTTCAAGGAATCCCCAGGCCTCTCATCTTCTCCCTCCAGTCCTCAGCTCACAGTCCCTGTACCCTCCTTGCTTGCCCTAGGGTTTGTGTCTTACTATAACTCATGCCAGAGCTCTGTTCCTTCTTAACCATGGCAAGGGTGAGGACTCCAGCCCAGCCAAGCTCTGCGGAAAAGAGATGGATATGCGCAGCCCTAAAAAGAACCATCCCAGGCCAAGAATGGTGGTGCACATCTTTAATCCCAGCATTCCAGAGGCAGACGTAGGTGGACCTCTTAAATTCAAGGCCAGCCTAGGCTACATAGTAAATTCCAGGTCAGCTAGAGCTAATAAATAATTAACAAATTAATAAATTAATAATGAATAAATAATTAATAAATAAAATAAAATAAAAAGACCCTCTCAGCAGATACACTCTCCACAAGAGCTCCTAATGAACTAGACCCCTGAAATGGCCAAATCCTAAGAGAAGTTTGAACTAGAGTGAAATCTGCCATACATGAGAATCTCAGGAACCGGTGTGCTATTCACCCAGCATACACCGGTACATCTGTACTGGCTGTTATAATATTGAACTAGCTGAAATAACTGATAAATGATGAAAGCGATCTAGCCAGCCCCTCACCTGTTCCCTCCTCAATCTCCCTTCTGCCCAGGCCCTCTCCCGGAACCATCTATGCAGACCTTTCTGAGACCTTTCCAGGGCTCAGCAACTAAAGGGGGGGACACAGGTCTGCTCTAGCCAGTCATGCCTGCCTGGTCATGCTCCTAAATGCCAGCATTTGACCATCCTGCTCCGGATCCGTGTCCTACCCATTGTGCTGGACTCCCTGACCTGTGGCCCCACCCTGCCTGCAGCACCCCTCAAGTCTCACCTGCCTTCGGGCTGCCCCTCTTGCAGCCCAGCATTTTGCTCTCAGATCCAGGGCTCTTTTCAGCTTTAGGCTCCTCGACCCCAGCCCGGGAGTCCTCATCTCGGTCTGCCTGATCTTCAGGGGCTGACTCACTGGCTGACTGCTCCGACAGGCTCAGCTGAAGCTCAGCAGGGGGATCACCACTGGGCAGACTGGGAGGCTGCTGTGCCTCCAGCTGTGTGTCTGAGGCTGGGGCCTCCACCTTGCCTTCTCCATGGGAGCTCTCGGCCTCCTTCTGCTTCTGGAGCTGCTCTTTCTGCAGGCTGCGCTGCTTCTTTCGGAACTTGGCCCTGCGGTTCTTGAACCACACCTGGGGAGGGGGAGGGCATGGAGAGGAGCAGTGAGGAGAGGAAAAATTGTACTCTGGGTCTCTAGGAGAGGGTCTAGATGATAATCTTCCCTCACCCAACCCCATCCATCCTTTCCAAATTGGCATGAGGGAAGCAGGCAAGTACTTCCGCCCAAGCGAACACTAGCTCCTGGACAACTGGACACCAGACAGATGGAGTCTACACTCATCTGCAAGCTAGAGTTGGGAGAGCCGGACCCTACCTGCACGCGGGCCTCAGGCAGATTGGTACACATGGCCAGCCTCTCTCGCATCACCACATCTGGGTAGTGAGTCTTCTGGAAGGTCTTTTCCAGGGCCTCAAGCTGCTGGGCTGTGAATGCCGTTCGGCTACGACGTTGTTTGCGGTGCTGGGAGCCATAACGGGCCTCCAAGATGATGTCTTGAAATGTACAGCCGTTGGAGGGCAAGCAGAGGGGGCCCATTTAATTACGGGAAGTAAATTTTCAAGCTAATTCTGCTCTGACCCACTTCAGACACCCAGACAACTATCAGAGCTGACCCCTGGCCCTTGGAAATCACCCATCCTCTCTCCACTGGCTGCTACTGAAAAATCTTTCTATCCTGTCCACAACCTCCACTCTCAGAACTGAAGACTAATTCAGCTCTGAGCATGGCTTTTGGCATGTGAGTGTGCGTTGGGGGTGTCCTCCTGATCTGGTTGGCAGTAAGGGTATGAAGATCCTTGAAGTTTCAACATACTAGGCCAAGAGTGAAAACATATACTTGCAATCCTAGCACTCAGGAGACTAAGGTCAGGAGGCTTGGAAGTCCAAGACTAGACTGATCTATATAGTGGAAGTTTAATTTTAAAAAGAAAAAAAAAGAAAGTCCCAAGATGCTATGATATTCTGAGACGACATGATACCAGTGATCTAAAAATACATTTCTCAATAATTCTGATACCATGTGGTCCTTAGATTCTGGGTACTAACACTTCCTAGCACTGGAATACTGGCCTTAGCCATGAGAAGCCTGATGCTTGTCTCACGGATGGCCTAGAAGTCTGACTGTGCATACTGATTCTCTATGTTTCACATTAACTCTTGTTCTCTTTGGTCTATATGTCTCTGATGGAAAGAGGAGAGATTCCTAGTCTCATTTCCTAAGTAGAAAGCTTTGCCCAGGCAGGGCCCTCAGCACAGGGGAAAGGCTTATTACACCCAGTCTTCAGCCTCTCTGGCTGCCTCTTCAAGGAAAGAGAACAAATCACCACACTGCAGGGTTGAACAGGAGTGACCAAGATGGTGGACCACTGATTCTACAGGCTTGCCATGGAAACCAGCCAGGACGGCATTTCCCTAAGGCTAGTGTCTAATGTTTTCCTTCTGCCTGACTGGTTACCTGGGCTGTAAATTCCCATCACACAAAAATGGACCCTGCCAATGCTGGAGGGACGCAAGTTGTTTTTTTGCCTCTGAATGGCACCAAAGTCCTCCTCTTGTAATTCAAGGTTTGGGAAGTTTTCAACAAAAGCTAAGATGGAAAATGTACAGGGCACCCTAGACTCTGGGATACTTCTCCAGTTAAAAGAGGGACCCTTTATACTTGTCCTAATCCCAATAGCCCAGGCAGACCTGAAATCTCGACTGTTATCCTTAGGCAGTACAGGGAGTAGGGACCTCTTAGTCACACCCATTCTGGTGGAAAGATGGCAGCTCAGCATCCTGCTGCTAGCTCCAAGGACTACAAGGAGTGGAGTGGTCAAGGAAAGACCAGGCTCCCTAAAGCAGCGCCTGCCATGGAAAGTAAGACTTCTGTAAGAATGTCCTAGCAGGGCTCATTTCTTCTGTAAAAGCTGTCAATCTGGAAGCAGGCTAAACCTCCGAGTTCCTCCATTCCTATCAGTGGGCATGAACCTCTATCCTGAATGTTCTCTGTGAGATAGTGGCTTAAGCTACATGCCACTGTTCCGTTGGGCAAAGGAAATCCATTCCAAACTAGGGAGGTAGCAATGGCTGGGGCAGGTCTGCAGTGACCACCATCACACTGGACACTGATGTCTAAGAATTGATCTAAGAACAGTGACCAGGGACTCAGCTGCTTAGAGGCCTGGCAAGGTCGAACGAATAGGGCTGTCTGCCATATCCTCCCTGCCAGGCTGGTACCCCAAGGCAAGTATGGTCCTCAGCCCCTCTCTCATTCCTATGCCTTGGCTCCTGCTGATACCTCCCCCTTGTAGCTCTTATTTAAAAGGCTCCTGCCTCCTGGACTGCCTGCTTTCCTTTCTTCACCATCCCATCTTGCTGTCCTGAGCTGTCCCACCACTGACTCTGGTCACAGTGGATCTGTGGACACTTGGTCTTCCCAGGAGTCCTGTGAGGTCCCTCACAACCACCCGGCACGGACACATGCCCACATGCATCAGGACGGGTAAGGGCTGACACAGCATGGACGGGGGCATCGTCCCTGGGAAGTGCACCCCACGAGCTGTATCACTAACCCCCCTCAGATCCGTTGTTATGAGGGTAGAAAATGTACTGAAGGCTCACATGCTAAACGCTTTGTCCCCAGCTGGTGGCACTAGTAAAAAGTGATTTGATCATAAAGCTGTTAACCTTATCAATGCATTGTTCTGTGCCCAGCTAAATGGACTGCTAGGAGATAAGGCTAAGGTGGAGGAAGTAGGCCTCTGGGGGCATGTCTTTGAAGGGTACATCTTGTCCTTGTCCCGTCTTCTCCCCTCTCTGCTTTCTGCCTCCCATGAGCTTTACTGTGCCATGCACTCTCTGACGTGATGCCTTGATACGATCTCACAGCAAACGGAGCCAGCCAACCATGACTCAAAACTTGTGAAACTATGATCCGAAATAAACCTTTCCTTTTTCTTAAATTGTTTCTCTCTAACACTTCATCACAGCCATGGAAAAGACGGCACCGAAACCAACTGAGAAGCGATTGGGAGAACAGCCATGAGTCAGAGGACTGGCGACAGCTCTCTCGTAGTGCTTGGGGCTTGCTTTGGGCGCTGAGTTATAGTGACTGTGAGCACAGCAAAGCTCTGCTAACCACATCATACAGCCTGCCAGCTATCCTAGTACTACCACTGTCCCAAACGGAAACCTGGGTCCTGAGAAGCGAGGGGACTAGGCAGACAGCTAACCACAGGTCTGAACCCACAGTTTCAGCCATTCTGCCACGTTCCAATGCCCAACCTCTCCAGTACTTATTCTCTCTGCGCTTCAGGTTTTCTGTCTGTAAAATAAAGTGGTAACCTTCCTCATGAGGCTTGAATACAGGGAGAGAAAAAGAGAAAGGCTGGCAGAGAGCCTGGCATTTAACCAGTATTCTAACCCTGAGAACCATCGTTATTTATATCTCCCTATGTCCGGTCTCCTCCCAAGGCACCCCAGCCCTCTTCCAGCTACTTCCCAGTGAGAGTTTCCTGGGTAGTCCTGTGCCTGCTACCTTGGTTTCTTCATCTGTGAGACAGGGCTGGTGAGCACCTCTTTTGAAGGTTTGTTATAGGAAACTAAAGGCTGAGGCAGCTCCAGGACCCAGCGCAGTGCTGGCACACAGAGGTATTCTGCAGGAACCTGCACAGATGCTGTACAAATGTGCTGCCAAAGCCAGCACAGCATAGCTTTTGACTTGTCATCCATGTCACTAAGTGACCAAGGGCTCTCTAAGCCACCTAGAATAAGCTGCTTACACACCTCTCCCCCTTTTGCCTTCAGCAGCCCATAGAAAAGCCATCCCTCAGTGTCTGGTCCCCATGGCCCGGTCCCCAGGGCCCTTACCAGCTAGGCGCTCCGCCAGTGTGAGCGCGTGCACCGACGGCCGGTAGTCGGGAGCATGCTGGGCCTGCTGGGCTGCCTGCTGATGCAGGTTGTACATGGCGCTGAGTGAGTTCATAGCGTGTAGGGAGTAGCCGTTCACCCCATAGTGCTGCATGGCAGCATGTGCCTGCAGGTGAGGAGAAAACGGTCATGAGGCGTGGCTGCGGCACTCTACCCTGGGAGAGTCGATCTCCCAGGCCAGAACCTCAGTGCCCACTTTACCCTAGGGGCTGCGACACCAGAAGAGGAGGTGGCCTTGCCTTGCCCCCAGAGCACTTCTGGACTTAATCTTTCATTCACCCACTCATCCAGTGATTCACTCTGGAGGACCTGGGCTGCCGGAGCCCACAGCAAATTCAGTACCTGAGTGGGGAGTGAGGATTAAAAGAAATAAAGGGATCGATCAGCTCGAGAGGACTGTCAGTAAAAACTGCAGCAGCCCAGAGTTTATTCAGGTAAAGCAAAACAAGGCACATCAATACAAGGAAGGGGTTCATGGAGCAGTCAAACTTGTTTTTTCAGACCCCCTCTCTGTAGAGCAGAAGTAGTCCAAGGTCATACAGGCAAGTTAAAGGAGCTTGGCAAAAAATCTTGTTTATCTCTGTCTCAAGGTAAAGGCCAGGGTGAAAACATGTTTTTCACTGACTACTTAATAGCAAAGCAGCTTGCCAAACAAGCAGTGCTCCACAGATGACTTGGAATCACAGCTTTGGTTCTTCAGAGCTTTGTGACTTTGGAAAACTCACCCAACTTCTCTGACCCTCATTTAGTTTCTCTATCCAGAAAAAGGCACTAAGAGTTGGACTCCCAGTTACTGAAGATAAGAGAAGCCTTTACGATACAGCCTGGACTACTACATGCTCAAAAGTGTTAGTCTTAGCCGGGCATGGAGCCCGTTTTTCCAGTCACAGCACTGAGACATGGAGGCAAGAAGATCAGGAGTTCGAAGTTATCCTCAGCTACAGAGCAAGTTCGAGGCCAGCCTGGACTACATGAGATCCTGTCTCAAAATAAAGCAAGTTAGTTGCTGCGACTGTCCAGCCCATTTGCCACATTATATAACCCTGTCTTCATTGAGTTCCCCAGGCACTCGCTCACGTGCACCTCTGCTGACTTAGAGACACATGTGTCTATGCAACCAACACCATCGCCCTTCCCTGGAGCAAAGGGCCAGTTCGGGACTCCCCACGGAGGCGTTTGCTCGGATGAGAGGGTAATTTAAAACCCTACTGTGCTTCACAGACATAAAGCTATTGTTCTTACTGTCACATATTCCCTGCCGTTACCTCTTTTATCCTCGCAGATCTCCAAAAAGCAAGCAAGCCAAAAATCACAAACCCCATTTGCAGACTTCGAGAAAGAAGAATGCCATGTTAAGGCACACGGTCAACCCTAGGCCTGCCCTACCACATTCACTGAGGTTACATTTCTTTGCGGTCAGTTCCTCCAAGAAAGACACAGCAAGGAGCATATCTCTTCTAGTGGGATGTCTTGTATAAACAAGAGGCTGTCCAGGCTCCATCAGCCCTGGGTCACCTCTGGACCTTGCAGTCGTTATCTGAGCATCCAGCCTGTATCAGCTTAAAAGGTCACTTTTGGAAAGTGACTTCGTGTTTGTAGCCACTAAAAGATACAAAGGTGCCTTTCTTGCCTGAAAAGAGGAGGTTGAAAGGGAAGGCCAAGGTAATGCAGGTTCTCTTCCTAGAGGAACATGTCCAGCTGTCTCAGCTCCCTGTTCTTACTGAACTAGACATAGGTATCACAGCCATGTGTGGGTACATCCACAGCATGCACACAAGCACATATAATCACAGCCAAGCCCACACAGACATATATACATAGACACCATTAGCAAAGAATTCACAGCAACCTCCTACCTCCACAATAGTCAGTGTCGCTATTGCAAGTTCCCCATGCGTTTTCATAGGTGTCCATTTACACGGCATGTACACTTATACGCAGACACTACACCACACATTGTACACTGATTTATTTAACAACTACTTATTAAACACACACCTACCAAGTACAAACTCCCCTAACTCCATGGAATTTCTATTCCAGGGGAGTGAGGGTAAAGTTAAAATTATATAAAGGTTCTAGGTCTGACATCACAGGCCTGTTATTTCAACTATCTAGAGACTCAGGCCTGAAATCACAAGTTCAAGGCCATCCTGGGCAACTTTGTGAAGTGCTGTCTTAAAATAGAAAATACAAAAAGTGCTGGACATGTAATTCATCGGAGGGCACTTGCTCAGCATGACGGCCTTCAATTCAGTCCTGAGTTTGGTGGTGGCTATCTCTGTCCGTCTCACTACCTTTCTCTCTTCCTCTCTGTCTCTGTGTGTGTGTGTGTGTGTGTGTGTGTGTGTGTGTGTGTGTGTGTGT